GTGTACTTCATCAGTCAGCCTGTTCTGCTCCCCACTCTGTCTCTGGTGAATCCTCTCACCGCCCCTGCACCTCTGCCCTGTACCCCAGTTCTGTAAGCACAAATAAACAAATCTTTTAAAAAAAAAAAGTGGACCTACCCTTAATCCAGTGATTTTTCTAGGAACTTATTCCAGAATGCACTATGACATGTGCAAAATTTTATGTGTATACATGTGTGTGTGTGTGTGTGTGTTACTCATTGTGGCATTGCTTATAATAGCAGAAGAGTGGAAATAATCTGGATGTTCTAATAGTAACTGGTAAACATGTTATGAAACTTGCATAGAGTTACTACAATGTAACTTCGACAAAATACAATACAGTTTTATTTTTCCAGTTGACTTGTGGGGGGGCAGTGGTTTGTGTTTATACATGTACATATATAGTGTTATATATATATATTATATAATTACAATGTCTAAATTATATTATAAGTAAAAAAGAGAACCAAATGCTTCATCTGTTTCCATGTGAGTGGAAAACAGAAGTGAATGTCCATGTGTTTATGCTGTGCTGGTAAACGCGGAGCCTGTCTTTGCGGAGGTCTTGGGGAGAGTAAGATTGCCGCCCAGAAGGGGAGCAGGTGGCTGGGAGCAGGGGTGAGGGGAGGCGAGCTCGCCCTCATACCTGGATGTATTCTGCGTCTATGTTGCCTCTTCAGCAACCCTTTCGCGCACTCACACTGGCACCCCTCTGCGCTGTCTGAGTTAGCGAAGCAGTTCCTCGACGCTCTTGTACTTGGCTCCCCTGAGTCTAAATCCAGTGGGCACCACCGCTGACTCCTGTGCTCTCTGTCCCCTTGCGGATCCCCCAGCCTCGGGATGCCTGGGTCTTCTCTGGAATGGGGACACAGAGTATAAAGAAGGAAGGGGAAGACCAGGGCACGCCACGGGAGCATGATCTTGACCCCGGGCCCCAATTCTTGCGTTTGCTTTTGTCTTTCTAGGCACGCCCCAAAGGGGAGGGTCTGACTCCATATCAGGGCAAAAAACGCTGCTTTGGCGAGTACAAATGTCCCAAGTGCAAGAGAAAATGGATGAGCGGGAACTCCTGGGCCAACATGGGGCAGGAGTGCATCAAGTGCCACATCAACGTGTACCCGCACAAGCAGGTGAGCGGGCAGGGCTGGCGCTCCAGGCCGGGCGCGTGCGGGAGGAGCCTGGGGCCGGGGTGAGGGCAGGGCTGGAGGGGGGCTGTCTTTGAAGGGCCCCAAGAGGGTGACTTCCCCCTCCATGGGTCCCAGTTTACTTGATGGGATGAGCCCACACCTCTACTGTTCTGGAATGTTCTGCATGGGGGCCCATTTCCTCAGGAAGGGGAGGAGAGGGAAGACACCACTGCCCTGAGACCCCGACACCACAGAGCCCAGGGAAATTTTCAAGCGAATGAGCTAGGGTGCTGTTGTGAGATGTGCCCCGTGAGGGCAGCAGGAGCTGTACTTGTGCGGCTGACTCGTGACATGGGTCACTGCTGCGTGTTGGGCACTTACAGGGACCAGTGGCCATGGCAAGAGGTTCAGGCAGCTCTCTGCAGGGAGGATATATTTTCTGGGGGCTGTAAAGAGGGACCAGTGTTTTCCCTGGGCTCTGAAGAAGGGCGGGAAGCTGGACGGGACTTCCAGTTTCATTTTTTTAAAAAATATGTGTTTATTTATACATACAGAACTGGGGTACAGGCCAGAGATGGAGGGGAGGTGAGAGGATTCACCAGAGACAGAGCCGGGAGCAGAACAGGTGGATTGACGAAGTTCACTGATGAGGGGAGCAGCGGGCGGGCCAGGAGAGGTCTGCCGCACCGTGCGGGGCCGGGGATCAAACTCACTGAAGCGGCTGCAGCCAGCTTGCAGAACTGCGTACTAACCTGTTGCGCCACCAGGGAGGGCCTCCAGTTTCATTTTGAGAAAGTTAGTCTGTTTGAATGTAGAGACTGAACGTGGGGGAGCATTGAAAGACTGTGGCCATAGGCCGTGTGACCTGGAAGAGGTCTGAACGGAGCTGGAGCCCCGGACTAGACGTGACACAAGGTGCGTCTGGATGGGAAGGCGAGGAAGGGGCAGGAATCCACAATCGCAATTCCGGCTGGGCGCACTCCTGAATGGAGGCTGTCACTAGTGAGGAGACCAGCTTGGACCCGGGGTGACAGGGGTGACCACTCTCGGGGTGCTGCTTACGGAGCACCCTTCTTGTGTGCTCCGCCCTCGTGCACGGGGGTCCCCATTTCACAGAGGGGAAGCACTGGCTGAGAAGCCACGGGACCCTTGCAAGTCCCCCAGGTGGAAGTGATTCCTCGGAGCTGGACTTAGCTGCTTGCTGACAGGCTGTCAGGCTTGGGGAGGGCTCCTCTGAGCCACAGCCCTCGGGTTATGGCCCGTCTCTGCCACCAGGAACTGGTGGGCCTCAGTGGTGGAGACAGGGAAGACTTACAACGGCAGGGCCGGTGGCTGCGTGCCCTTCAAGTGCTTCGTGACTGTGGTCCTCTCGGCCACCCATGAGGTCAGCCCTATGGCCTGTCCATTTTGCAGAGGAGGAAACTTGGGCGTGGGGTACCTACCACTGACCCTAGGTCAGCAGAGAAACGTATTCATGAGCAGGATCAGGTGGGGCAGGAGGGGCAGGT